AGTTTCGATGACGAGCAAGTTTACTGGATCGTTCAACCACCTGAAATTAATCAAATAAAAGATTGGCTAAGGAAGCTTTGCTGGTTCCAGTGGGAAAGAAGACATTGGCAACAGAGCAAAGTACAACAGTGGAATTATTTGCTCGTTTTTTTTTTTTGAATTTTTCATCAACTATAAAAATTCATTTTTCCTACATACATTATCCGGAGGCACATACGCATACATTATTTTTTCAAGGTCTTCGGACAAAAATTGTGGGGATTTCCTACTGCCAAGCCTCAGGCGTCAAGCGTTATTATGGTAGTCCTTTTCGATGTATTGCGCACCATCTCTACGGAATTTGCACGATTGTTCGGCCAATTTTTCAGAATATCAATTACTGATATGCCAAGACCGAAACATTCTCATTCAGATTTTAATCTTAACTTATTCACATTCCCTTTTTTATTTTCTTACATTTTACATAAACACATACCAGCTAAAATTAAAATACTGATACGACAAGACTAATGGTTACTAGTAAAGCGTAAAACATCCTATTAATCCGATTTTGCTTCTTCATCTGTCCTAATGACAAATTGCACGTAGCTCATCCGATTGCTTAGACGAGCATTTTACTAGATGCAATAATAGTTCAAAGGAATGTAATAGTGAAAAAGGAGACGATCGGACTATTAAGGTAAGCTTCAACACAACAATATTCAGACGGAATTTGGCAATGTACGAAAAAATGCGTAAAAAATTTCTCAGGGCACCCAGCGCGTTTTTCCGATCGAATCGGAATTCTAGAATGTTGCCTCCCTCTGAGGAGACAATCTGGCATCAACTTCCCCCATTATTTTCCCTCTGAGGAGACAATGAAGCAGTAACTTTTCCCGCTATTTTCACCAACAGGTTGCTGCCTGTTAGTTGCAATTTAAATAAACAGGAAGAATTCTGGATGAACCAGAAAATGGAAGAATTTTCAGGAAGAATTTTCCTGGAATAGCTAGGACAAAGAACTGAAAAATCAAACTACCACCTTATCAACAAAATCATCGACGAAATCCACAAGTGCTGATGCCACTGCATCTTCAAGCGTCGAGGTAGGGTCAATTTGCTGCATGATGTCGTTCAGCTGCGAAGGTCCCAGGATCTCTGCCGACTGTGGAGGCGCGCGCAGCTGTTCCACGTGGTGCTAAAAACATAAAGAGGAAAATGGTGTCAGGTCGAAATTTGAGAAATTTTTCCAAGCTAACAACATTTCAGTGCAAAACACAATTTGCATATGATGAACAGATCACGCATAACGCAACTGATGCAACAACGTTCAAAAGCCCAGCCATGGGCTGTAGCTCAGAAAGT